TTCGACTCCTCGCACGGCACTAACATTTGTATTCATGACTATGATTGTTTGTATCGGTCTGGGTGTTTTCTATGTATATGTATGAATTTACGAAAAAAGAATTATCTATGTACTTGTATCAGTTATCTAGTACACAAGCTTAACTTGGGACTAGATGGCGCTGTGTGAATTGTCCTGAGATTATTATTATATACCCACTTGAGTGAGCATGATGAAGTTAAGTTAAATTAGTTAAGCACGTCGAGACAGGGCCGTTATAACTCTGTGCCAACGGAGTGGGCACTGATAATAGACCTTTCCGAATAACTAAGTGAGATCTGAAGGTTCCCAAATAGGATTATCCTGAATCTAATTTCGGGTCGGTGAACTTGTTTAAGCATTATACCTGGGAGTAAGAAATCACAAATAAACATAGTACAGAGAAAGGTTTTGAGTAATGGGAACGAAAACAGATAAGAAATCTACAAAATACAAAGTATGTCTGATGGACAAATCCTTGAAAACTTCTTGAATATTTTATATAATTAGAAAAACAAAAAGCTGACACATGCTGTCCCACAGGATGGAAAATAGTTACCATTGCTACGAAGTGCCACGGACGTAAAAAAACAAATTTGTGACGTCCAACCCACTCTATATTTTCGACTAGAGAAAGAGTTCTGAAATTGGAGAATTAATACATAAGAATTATACAGAAAAGAGATATTGAAGTACAAAAGGCGATCTTATCGCTAGACGCAATCTCTTCCAGACAACCTTTAGGTAGAGAAAATACAACAAAAGTAGTAGCGCATGAATAGAATAGAAGAATATATAAAGGTAATAATAGAGATAGTATAATAATACCAATAAATATTAGAAAATAACGCACATTATATATACTTTATATAAAATATATAGATAGACTAGCTGTCCTGGCAAACGTTGTTTTGCCATATAAATTAATAACGCTATAAAAAATAGGGGTTGATGATAGAAGGGTGAAAATTTAGGATTGTATGTATTTTTGTATGTTGTATCATAAAAAAATAGAAACTAAAAATTTTGTCTAAAAAATAAAAAATAAATTTAGGGGTGGACTACCCCTTAGGGGGATGAAAGATAGATGTTGGCCGATTCTTAGACCTACTCAATACGCTCACAAAATTTCATGAGAATCGGTCAAGCCGTTTCGGAGGAGTATGGGAACGAAAACTGTGACACGAGAATTTTATATATAAGATAGATATATATATAAATACACAAAAATGCAAGTACAAAACATTAGTATCCAAAACATTACAGACATATATTTGTTTGTAATGTTTTGGATATGAATAATGATTTCATCTATATATCTATCTATCTAAGTCCTAAAAGACAAGAGACTAAAGATAAAGATATAGAAATTCGTGTTTATACAAGAATAGAATAGAATAGAAAATCATTTATTCAAATAAACTTATATTGAAGCACTTTTGAATAGTCATCACATTTTTTTTAATCTACCGCTCATTCGGAAAGCTTTCTCATCACAAGAAGAACGAGCAAGAAACTTGTGTGTTGCTCTTTTAAATAATTTTATTCTTATTTTACAATTTCAGTTTAAGTGTGTGAATACAAACTACCGATTAGCACTAATTCAATTAAATAATCAAATAGAAAAAATATTAAATACGCAACAACTAGAGATGAGAGAAGAGCAGATAATATAATAGGAATATAAACAGATAATACAGTTACAAAATGTTACAGTACACAAAACTCAAGTTGTGTATCACGCGCCGCATCCAACTGATACCAAATAAATACAACTTAAGATTTATTGCGAGTTGTAATAGAAAAATTTCGCTGAAAGATACACCGCTTGATAAATAAATAAATGAAGTTTCGATGAAAAACTGCTTCGTGTCGGAGAATATTGTTATAGGATGTTAGAAATATATTATATTACACTTGTGTTGTCTGCAACTTTAGACAGAAATCATTCCTCACTGGATGATTGCGTTGTGTTTAGAATTTCAGCTTTTTCAATTGGATCATGTTTTTCAACAACAATGCAATTTTGTAATGGAAACAAACGATATAAATGAAATACAATATTTCTTCACAAAAAGAAATAAAATGGTCATAAGAGTCCAAATCTATACACATAAATAAAATTGCAGTGTCTGTTTGTAATATTGAAATAACCTTTTTTTTACTACATGCATACGGTACATACACCAAAATATTTTTTTTTACAAATTTTTGTCTGTCTGTCTATCGGCCTGTTTGTTCCGGCTAATCTCTGAAATAGCTGGACCGATTTTGACGGGACTTTTTTTGTCAGGTAGCTGATGTAATAAAAAGTAACTTAGGCTAGGCTACTTTTATTTTAGAAAAATGAAATAAAATTCCACTCATTGATCTCGACGACAACATAACGGCAGTAAACCTCCCCACGGGTCCACCCGTTCCGTCCCGACCACACTTTTACACACAATCACGACACCGTCCTCGCCGGCGAAGACGACGACCTCATACACATCAAACCGCGCATTCAACCGGGCGCCTGCGCGCATGCGCTCCACACCGGCGCTCCCGGTCGCCCCTCAGATATCCCCCTTCGAATTCAAACGGGGACCGATGTTACGACTGCCTGAGCCGAGGTTCGAACCCCTAGGGGTGCCCTCAGACTAAAGTCGTATCCGTCAGGCGGGAGTTGGCCTTCAGCCGCTCCATAATTCTTTCGCGGGTTTGGAGTGCCATCTGCACTTGCCAACAAACAGCATTAGAGTAGTGCGAAAAAAAAAACTTACTTGGCAATACAACAGAACAAACATTATAAAAGTAGATGAACTCGAAATCAATACATAATGTACAGACAGAATGGTAAATCGCATAGGAACATATCCATATGTCAATTGAAAAAAAAAACGAACAAAGATCGTTCATAACAGCCGGCTCAATAAACATGGATGGTAACATATAATTCGTAATTTAATCTGATACAGGGTGTCCGCTTTCCAGAATTAATTATAACATTCATAAAGATTTTCCTTTTGCTTATTGCTAACTAGTTCTAAATGCGACTTCGTCCGCTTGTAATTAAACTTTATTTTTCTAAAACAAAAGTAGCCTAAGTTACTTATTACATCAGCTACCTGCCAATAAAAGTCCCGTCAAAATCGGTCCAGCCATTTCAGAGATTAGCCGGAACAAACAGACAGATAGACAGAAATGGTAAAAAATGTTATTTTGGTGGTACCGTATTTATAATAAATAATAATAATAAAATTTATTTATTCCATTCCATTATAAGTATTCACAGAATTTTTTTTCAATTATATTCATATGCATGTAGTAAAAAACGGTTATTTCAATATTACAAACAAACACTGCAATTTTATTTATATGTATATTGTTTTGTAGTAAATTTCATCCCCTATTTTATACACTTGGGTGTAGATTAATCAATATCCTTTCTTAGCGGATGCCTACGTCATAACATCTACCTGCATGCCAACTTTCAGCCCGATCCGTCCAGTGGTTTGGGCTGTGCGTTGATAGATCACTACGTCAGTCACCTTTGAGTTATATATACACATAGATTACAGTTATATAAAAAAAAACATTATTAAATATTCTGTTTTCGAACAGTATAGTTAGTTCTTCAAATCCCTTCTTTTTTATTACATTTTTCCTCTGTACAACTCTGAATAAGTATCCAAGAACTCACAGATGAATCTCTTTCAATGCGCAAAGCAAAGAACATTTGAATGTTTCAGAATTTTAATAATTCTACTTCCTTTCTAAAATACAATTGTAAAAATATCTTATACACTTCAATAAATTTCAATTATTTATAAATGTACTTAGTATTTATTGAGATGTTTGTTTTTTGTTTAAGTTTTAAAATTATTAAGCTTTAGATGCGCGTTTTTTAGGATTATTATCTCGACCTATATTAATTACAAATGTCTGACCTAATTCTAAAAATTGAGTCTTTAATCGTTCATCACAGTCGTTTACAGAAATTTAATATTTACATTAAAAAAATTCATAATTTTATTGTGGAAAATCTCAAAAATTACTTTTTAGTTTTCAATTTATAAATCAATAACACTATAAATCTACAATATTAGCTAGTGATATGCCGTTTTATTAAAAACTAGCTACTCGCTCCGGCGTCGCACGGGTCTTCATGTATTATATATATAAACCATCCTCTTGAATAATTCTATCTATAAAAAAAACCGCTTGAAAATCTGTTGCGTAGTTTTAAAGATTTAAGTATACATAGGGATGGACAGACAGCGACAGTGACTTTGTTTATACTATAGTATGTAATGATAGGAAATCTGCAATCACCCGTGTGTAGTCAGGGTCGGACGGTAGTTATGAAATATTGTCATCACATTAGAAAGCAGTCTTCCAAATAAATTGACCAAATTTCCAACCAACAAAAATGTTCGACCAGACGAAAGTGGTGTACCATCACATTATTAATAACATTTAATATTCGTACGGTCTTTTCATTTTCGGGACCGTTAAGAAAATCGTCAAATCAAATAAGAGACGAAATCGTATCTAATAATAAAATATATTTTTTTATATTATATAAGTCATATAAGTCCATGGTATAGTAATAACAATGCTCTTACTGTATAACTTAATTGTATAACAAAGAACCTAAAATTTAAAACCTTAAAAAATATAATATAATAACTAAAATATATTATTAAACTAGTTTTTGCCCGCGGCCTCGCTCGCGTTAATTTATCCCCTCAGGGGTGGAATTTTTCAAAATCCTTTCTTAGGGGATGCCTACATCATAGTAGCTTTATGCATGCAAAGTCTCAGCCCGATCGGTTTAAAATTGACAAAGTTTCATACAAATTTACATCCCCTATTTTATCCCCTTGGGGATAGAATTAATCAAAATCCTTTCTTAGCGGATGCCTACGTCATAACAAACATATATAGTATATAAAATAGTTTCCAACACTGATTTTTTTCTTAAATACTATCTGACTCACCTCGAAGGGCGCTTCTCCATGATGCTTGTTGTTCAGTATCAGGAAGGAGCACAGCGGTCCTCGCGCCCTGATCGTCGGGGTCACCTCCACCAGCGTTTCGTTCTCGCGGATCAGTCCATGGTAGCCCTCCTCAGGCTCCTCCAGCTCCAAGTATGGTATGTCTGGAAACAAATTAACATCTGGTTAGATTTTAAATACACAATACTATCTTTTTCATTTTTTTATTGGATTTCAGAGAAATTAGAACATCTTTTAATTTTTTTAAGGCGCTGGATGACAAGCTGATGGCCAATTTGTTGTTAAATGGTAATGGTGGACTATGTATATATGAATACCATTTCAGAGATACTGGCACATACTACTATGTTTTTATTTTTTTTATGGCGCTGGAATAACAAGCTGATGGCCAACTAAAATTAAGTGGTAATGGTGGCCTATGTATACATGAATACCACTTCAGAGATACTGGCACATACTACTATGTTTTTAATTTTTTTATGGCGCTGGAATGACAAGCTTACGACCCATTTACTGTTAAGTGGTCATACTAGCCTATGCAGGTTATAGGTTGTTTATATCAGTCTAGGTGTATCTATATGTATCTATATGTATTAACTATGTATTTACAAAAATATCTAAGTATTTATATCAGTTGTCTAGTATTCATAATACAAGCTCTGCTTACCATGGGAGTAGCGCTGTGTTAATTGTCCAGGGTTATTTATTTATTATTTAACAGTCAGATTTTAGCTTATTAAATAAATTACAAAAATAATTATTTAATATTAATATATATTTGATTCAGTTCGCTTCAAGAGCACTATCTGAAATCATTGAAATAATTAATGTTTAAAATGTTTTACCGTACCAATTTTAAAGCAATATTTGGAATAGAATAGAATAGAAAATTATTTATTCAAATAAACTTAATTTAAGCACTTTTGAATAGTCATAACAATTTATTTTTTATCTACCGCTCGTTCGGAAAGCTGTCTCATCACAAGAAGAACGAGCAAGAAACTTGTGTGTTGCTCTTTTAAATAATCCTTGTAAGTTCACATTTACAAGTCGAAACGTGTGAATACAAACTACCAAGTAGCACAAATTTTTTTGGGTCAAATATAAATATACTATAAATTAAATCAGTAGTAGTGATAAGAGCAGACCAGTCCCTACAAGCAGCACTCGTTCACGAGTATGACGATGAAACACGAAGGAGACTATGTTTTTATAGAAAAACTTTAAATCCATAGCACTGACAATATTATCTAATTAAACTAATAATGAGTGCGTAGCGATTTCTATGTTGATTATCGCATGCCTCTTACTTGTTATACTGTAATTATTTGTATAAAAAAACATCTATAAAACAAGTTTCTTGCTCATTCTTCTTGTGATGAATCTGCATTCCGAATGAGTGGTAGAATCAAAATATGACTATTCAAAAGTGCTTGTAATGAGTTTATTTGAATAAAGATTATTTCTATTTCTACTTCTACTATTTATTACGTCCTTTTTTCATGTAAAATTGCAAGTGTGACTACAATATAATTTCGCATCACAACAGGAGGTCATAACGAGATGCCTATTATATATAATCACCAAACACGTCGCCGTGAAATATCTCATGATGAAATTTAATAATTCGCGAGGACGGTCGTGCAGGGCCGTAACGACCCCATAAGCATAAGCCGGGCTATTAGCCTACTCGGAGCTGTACCCAGGTACCTACCCCTAAAAGTACTTACGAGAAATGTCGATTAATTCCCGAATTTTTTATACCCCTGGAAAATAAAAGAAAAATAAAAAAAACATGATGTGAAAAAATGAAATGAAAATTCTTTTTTGTGATCTCTTAGAATACAAACAAACATTTATACACATTATTAATATATGAATAAGTATAAATATATAACATTCTCAAAGGGAAGAGGCAACAATCCAGACAACCTTTGACGACCTCGGTGGTCTAGCGGTCTAGCACACCGGCTTTACATCCGATGGTCGCGGGTTCGATTCCTCGCACGGTACAAACATCGGTATATGTATTCATATTTCATCCAACATTCTGTCCGAACATTATTCCCATCCAGACACGTAGCATATCCATCGAAGTACCTCAATAAAAACGACATGTAGTACATATGCAATGAAAAGTTAGTACATCTGTTTGTAAGTCACATTTATTGGATTCCAAGTCTTGTTTTCCTGAGACCTATGTGCGCCGCAGAATTGTAGTTGAGTCAAAAGTTCGCTCGTAAAAAGATCTAGCTGACAGTGCGTACATAAAACGCGAGGTACTCGTAGCAAACCGTTACTGTTGTTATAGTAACGAGTAACACAATGGGATTGTTTGCGATCCCACGGGAAAGGATTTGTGGACCGTAGGAAGCTTTCCGCTTGTTTATTCTATACCTTCCCAAAAAAATCTTCACCCATTTAAAAAAAAACAGTAATATTAATACTAGATTTACAGACAAACTTGCTGTCCCCAAGTATCGTTTAGAAAAAGTCAATAGGTCTTTTATAGGAATAGGTACAACAATTTACAATAAGATACCAAATGATATATTGGTTTTACCCTTAAATAAATTCAAAACATCTGTTAAATCATATTTACTGAGCAAAGCCTATTACTCACTAAACGATTACTTGAATGACGAGCGTGCATGGCAATAGTTGTTCATGCACGGGATTTTCATTTAATGTTAGACATAGACACCTATATAAATATACATTGTAAATAAACTGGCTTTAAAAAAATATTCAATTGAGTTTCTTGCCAGTTCTTCTCAATTGGATCTATATACTGAACTGGATGGTAGGGAAATAATATAATATAAAAAAAATTACGTTCATAAGCGACTAAAATGTCATGAATTAAATGATTTTTGAGTTATGATTTTTTTTAAATATTAGACTGTAAAAACAGTTATCTTTGGAAGCTTTGTTTCGGGTATTGGCAATGAAAATCATTACATAGTATAAAATAAAATCGCTGTCGCTGTCTGTCCGTCTCTATGTATGCTTAAAGCATTAAAACTACGCAACGGATTTTGAAAGTTTTTTTAATAGATTGAGTGATTCAAGCGGAAGGTTTATATATATAATACATGTATATCCGGGCGAAGCCGTAGCTCGTAGCTGGTACAGGATAAGAGAGACGACACCTCAGTCCTCTAGAATGGTAACATGATAACGTGATATACAGAGGGCACTTCACGTATATAGACGACGGTTACCACCTACCGTCAAGTAAGTCATCATCAAAAAGTAATTTATATAATAATTATGCGAAACCAAAACGTTGTGCCTTTTTTTACGAAAACTGCGTGTTTCCACGATTATGAAATTTCGCACACTTATAATTATAGTTCCTGAGATTAGCGCGTTCAAACAAACAAACTCTTCTGCTTTATTAATATACATTTAAAAGTATCTAACATATCTTACGTGTCGTCTGCAAAGACCTTTAGGGCGGCGACATGTTTTGTTTACGCGTGTCTTGCATTCATAAGGGACTACGATTCGATACATTCAATTCTTATATTTTCCAAATCCTGTTGACGGATCGCTGGGTAAAATCTTGGCACTAAGACCGCAATATCTACGCAATTTGTATCGTGAGCCTGTATGTAAACTCGGGGCTCGAACGTTGCGTGTTGATTTTCGTCGTTTCTAGGGTTGCTACTTTTTTGACGAAAAAAAAACGGATACCTAAACTGGTTTGGATAGGAAAAAAAAAACATTTTTCAATTTTTTTTGCATTCTCGGATACACGAATGTGCGGATTTACCTACGCAATTTGTATCGTGAGCCTGTATGTAAACTCGGGGCTCGAACGTTGCGTGTTGATTTTCGTCGTTTCTAGGGTTGCTACTTTTTTGACGTAAAAAAAACGGATACCTAAACTGGTTTGGATAGGAAAAAGAAAACATTTTTCAATTTTTTTTGCATTCTCGTATACGCGAATGTGTGGATATACCTACGCGATTTGTATCGTGAGCCTGTATGTAAACTCGGGGCTCGAACGTTGCGTGTTGATTTTCGTCGTTTCTAGGGTTGCTACTTTTTTGACGAAAAAAAAACGGATACTTAAACTGGTTTGGATAGGAAAAAAAAATATTTTTCAATTTTTTTTGCATTCTCGTATACGCGAATGTGTGGATATACCTACGCGATTTGTATCGTGAGCCTGTATGTAAACTCGAGTCGAACGTTGCGTGTTGATTTTCGTCGTTTCTAGGGTTGCTACTTTTTTGAAGAAAAAAAAAACGGATAACTAAACTGGTTTGGATAGGAAAAAATTTGGAAAAAAAAACATTTTTCATTTTTTTTTTGCTTTCTCAGATACACAAATTGGCAGGTATACGCAATTTGTATCGTGAGTCCGTATGTAAACTCGGGGCTCGGACGTTATTGCCGACTTTTTTTGACAAAAAAAAATGTATAAACTGGTTTGGATAGAAAAAAAATACTTTTCGACTTTTTTGCATTAAAAACGTATTTTTGTATGCTTTTAACACTAGAGCTGTGACAAATGTCGCAACTCACAATTAACACCTAACATTTGGTTCAGTAATTATAAATCATTAAGTACCCACAATGAGTATTTTGTTTTACGGATCACAGTAAACGTTGAAAATAAACTATTTTTGCATTATGTAAAAGTGTAAGTATAATTACCAAAAATTCAAATTAAAAAATCATTTAAAAAATCATAAGCGGTTAAAATTCATGAATAAATGATTTTTGAATTTGAATTTGAATTTGTAGACATTTTGAGACAGAAAAAACAATGTCTGGTAGATTTTCTCATTTTGTAACTCAGGCCTTTTCAAATATAGAATTATCAATAATGGAAGAATGTTTATTACCTGATATATCTGTTGCATTAGATTCTTAGCTTCTTTTTTTAGTATTGCTTACCTCGAGTGCGTGAAAATTCTTTACCAGTTTGCGTTATTTTATAGACAACACATCACTTAACATCTAATGATATTCAAACGGGCTCAATAAATACGAAGAAATAATAAATAAAATTTTTACATTATAATTAAAAAAAATAAAGTAGAATACGTCTTAGTCTTGGTCTAGACCAAGGAATAGCTACATCAAACAAATTGAGGACAAAATGGGAGTCGTGTCGTATCAAGAATTA